CACCCACTCGGCCCCCCACAGGCTCTGCCCCAGGCATCCCCAAGAGCAGCTGGGGTGCTGACGGGTTGGTCTCGCGGCGCCAAGGGTCGGCGCTACCGGACCAACCGGGCAGCACTCCAGCTGCTCTGCTGCAGGCGTCCCCGATTCAGCCGCTGCTATCCTCCCACCCCACCCCACCCGAGACGCGTCTGGGCTGTCCGCTGCCTGCGTGCTCCGCCGCTTTGCTTCCTCTCCCTGGTCTGCTGGAGACCAGGGAGATGGGCCCCGTTCGTAACTGCGGATCCGACATAAGTCGGATCCACGTAACTCGGGGACTGCCTGTACCATTTTTACAAATTTGCTTGACTGTGGCACAGTTATTTAAGGGAGGGGAGATATATGCACCCTACCGAAATTTCCATTACTTTTTGAGCTCTCTCAGGAAATTAAAAATTAACTCACCTGATGGAACCACTGAAGACCAGTCTTTAGTTTTAGCACTTGTGGCATCAGTAGTCACCTAACAACAAATAAACAAATAATGTTTTTTTACAGAAAACATGTATTAAATAAATACTGAATACCAATGACAAAGGATGGAAACAAGGCAAAAACTCCTTAGAATCATGTTTACATTACAGATAATTATTTAAGTATTTTCTGAGTTAAAAAAAAAAAAGGCCAATTTCTTTTTTTAATAAAAAGCTTGATTGCCAGACCATTGTGTGCACATTGCATAAGCATCATATTGTATTGCTGCACTGCTATAACCTTTGTCTATTCCCTCTCTCATTTCTCCCTATTATTTGACATACCCACTTGCTGTGTAATATCCAAAATTTAGATTGCAATCTCTTTAAGGCAGCAACTGTCCTTGCCTCTGTCAATAAAGCATGTAATGGTATGTCTACACTACAAGGTTAATTCAAAATAACAGCTGTTATTTCAAATTAACTTTAACAGCGTCTATACAAGCAAACCACTATTTTGAATTTAATTCAAAATAGCAGAGCACTTAATTCGAATTTGGTAAACCTCATTCTATGAGGAGTAACGCCACATTTGAAATAGCTAATTCGAAGTAAGTGCTGTGTAGACACTTAATTCGAATTAGCTGGCCTCCAGCCTTTCCCAGTTTCCCCTAGTGGTCACTCTGGGCCAAACCAGGAAAACTCCTCTCCTATCCCCCAGCCCCAGAGCTCTTAAAGGGGTAGACTCTGGCCAGACTGCACATGCCAGATCCAGGCCTGACAGCAGTCTCTGCCCCGATCCAGTGACCCCACTATGAGCCGGGCGGCCAGTGCCAGCCAGCCGTCTCCCACCCAGTCCCCCAGCACCCAGCCAGGGGTCAAAGACACCGTGCTCCCTCCTGGACTAGTTAGGAGATCATAGATCTCATTGAGGTTTGGGAGCAGGCCCCCAATGTCCATGATCTCCGCACTAGACAGAGGAAGGTGGCTGTCTACGGCCGCATAGCTACCACCATGGCCCAGAAAGGCCACAGGCGCACCCAGGAGTAGATGCGCTTGAAAATTCAAGAGCTGCAGCAGGGGTACGCCAGGGCCACTCGGGGCAGCTCCTCAGCAGGGGCAGACACCTGCCCCTACTTCGAGGCACTGGACCACATCATGGGGGCGGGACGGTCCGTGCCACCCCAGGTGGCAGCGAGCTAGGACCAGAGGACCCTAACCAGGGCGCAGAGGAGGAGCCGCCATGGAAGGTGCCACACCGGCTGGACCCCCGAGCTGTCCCAGCAGTGGAGTCACCAGGGTTGTCCAGTGAGGCCACACCATGTAAGTGCCATCACTGTCCCTTTCACGGGAGGGTGGGGGGGACGGAGGGAGACCAGGGACAGCAGGTGTGGGCCTTGATTACTATGGATCACGCAGCAACCTGTGCACATGTGAGCAAGTGCCATGCCACCCCTGGGCAGGTGGCTCCAGCTGCGTGCCACACAGGGGCTGTGGCCTGATAGCCACACGCATGTGTGAAGAGACCTGATATGCTCCTGACCCTGGGGTGGGACACGGCAGGACGCCCTCTGTCATGATTATGAGGGTTAGCCAGCAGCCTGGGGATTAAGGGGTTAACTACAGCTAGCCAGGTGGAGTGACCAGTAGGAATGTAGGTGGGACTTTCAAACCAGGACAAAGGAATTTGGGTTTTTTCCTTTCTCCCTTTTGTCTCTCTGGGTGTGTATTCCCCCTCCCCCTTCACCCGCAGTATACATAGCACAGGGGCATGGGTGTGGTCTCAGGGCAGCTCCCGCTCCTGGGGATAGCTGGACATTCCGACCATGGCCTCTGTGCAAGCACAGTGGCTCTGACGGTGCAGGGCATGGTCATCCTCACCTCGCAGAGGGGAGCTGGGCTTCACCCACTGTGTCCCCAGGGAGAACTGACCACTTCTCTTCTTTCTCCACAGCCGCACCAGCTGCACTTGCAGGGCAAATCACCTCACACAGGACATGCGCCCATACCCGAGGGCTCCACAGGACGACCGCAACTCGGCAGGGGTACCGAGAGCAGCAGCTGGAGGCCCTGCGAGCCCTGACCCACATCATAGAGCAGTGGGCACAGGAAGAATGAGAGTTCCAGAGGGAACTGCTTGCCCAGGATCGTGCCATCTGAACCCATCTGCAGACCCTGGTGCAGAGTGTGCTGCCCCCCAGCTACCATTCCTCCTCCCCCCACTTCTTCTTCCCCTCCCACCTCTCCTCCCCATCCCCCCAGGAACGCCGAGGCCCCCTCCCCCACGGTGGGAGGCAGTTGGCCCAGTGAGACCCCTACCCCTGAGCGCTGAGCTTCCCCTCCCCCTTCCTCCCCTTGCTTCCCCCTTCCAGCTCCATCCTCTCAGATTTACCCCTCCCTTCTCCCACCCTCTATCCTCCCACCCTCTATCCTGCCTCCTTTCCCCAGTCTCCCCAGAGGTTCATCAATAAAATCAGTTTCTATTTTTGAAAAAAAAGTATATTTTACTTGATATCAGGAAGGGGGGGCTAGGGAGGAGTAAGTGGAAGGACATGAGGGAGGAATGGGCATTAGCACCCAGTGGGGAGGACCGGGGTGGCTCTGAGGGCTTCTCGAAGTGGACGCTCTCCTGCAGAGCCTCCTGGATTCTGACAGCCCGCCAATGGACCCCCGGATGGCAGCCTGTAGCAAGTGCAGCCAGGCTGATGGCGGCGACCCCACGAAATGCACCAGCATACCCAGGGGCAGCTCTGGCTCCATGTGGCCAAGTGATGTGGTGTCCCGAGTGCAGGCACTCAGGGCACTCCAAGACAGGACTGCTTTGCTGTCCCTCATCGAGGTAGACTAGCAAGCGGGGAACCCTGAAAACTGTTCAGGGTGGGGGCAAGGTCCCTGTAAGCATGGAGCTCAGTTAGCCTCAGGCAGCAGACCCACACACTAAGTCCTAACCTGATGCTCTGCCGGCACTGGTTCCGGCCAGCCTTAACATCGGTTCAGGGTCCACTCAGTGTGGACACGCTATTTTGAAATAGCAAAACGCTATTTCAAAATAGTTTATTCGAATTAAGCTAATTTGAAATAATGCATCTATACACAAAAACTATTTCAAATTAAGTTAACTTGAATTAACGCTGTAGTGTAGACATACCCTAACATTTTTATGGGCAATCTAAAATAAAAGCACCTCACAGGCTTCTACTACCCCATGGAGTTTGATTTATCTGTACCATATTTCAGCTAAAAGCCCACAATCAAAGAGTTTATTTGCAACAGTGATCATCTCTCCCTTATCAAACTATGAACACTCTTTTAAACTAGTTTCTTTATTTTCACACCATTTTTCTAAGACATGGCGTTTCATAAGTCCCTTTCTTTAATGTATTACTGAAATTCAGCCTCAGCTGGAGTACTGTGTCCAGTTCTGGGCACCACATTTCAAGAAAGATGTGGAGAAACTGGAAAGGGTACAGAGAAGAGCGACAAGAATGATTAAAGGTTTAGAGAACATGCCCTATGAAGCCAGGCTTCATGAACTGGGCTTGTTTAGTTTGGAAAAAAGAAGATTAAGGGGGGACGTGATAGCGGTTTTCAAATATCTAAAAGGGTGTCACAAGGAGGAAGGAGAAAATTTGTTCCTCTTGGTTTCTGAGGACAGGACAAGGAGTAATGGGCTTAAAGTGCAGCAAGGGAGGTTTAGATTGGACATTAGGAAAAAATTCCTAACTGTCAGGGTGGTCAAATATTGGAATAAATTGCCAAGGGAGGTGGTGGAATCTCCCTCTCTGGAGATATTTAAGAACAGGTTAGATAGACATCTGTCAGGGATGGCGCAGACGGAGCTTGGTCCCGCCTTGAGGGACTCGATGACCTCTCAAGGTCCCTTCCAGTCCTATGATTCTATGATTCATATTAATTTTATTATCTAAACTTCATCAAAATATTATCCCCTTTTTAATTTCAATAGTACAGAAAGCATTTATCAGTTTAAAGCAGGCAATATATACTTACGTATTTTATGACGATGCTCCTAGGCCAACAACAGGTGGCATGTTTTCACAAAATCTACACACAATACTTCTTTTGTCCTGTTCATCATACTTCCTCTTTTCAATAAGAGCATTCCAATTTATTAATTACTCAATCTTACTTTCCCTTTTACTTCTCAGTTGCTCTTTTGATTTGGTTTCATTTCTCATAAATGACTCAGCTTCATTTCTAGCCACACCCTTGTAGGCAGAATTTCTTTCACATTTTCATAGTAGGCAAATATATTTTGATATTGCTTTAAGATCCATGTTATGAGATATTATGCCTCCATTAGTTTGCTGTGGAATTAACCTGCTAATTTCTAGTAATTGTTAATGCTCAAGGGAGTCAGAAAGACAGAAAAGCTGAATTTGAAAGGAAAGAATGCCTTCAAAGAAGTACAGGTTTTTGTTCAGTTTCATTCAGTTTGAGCATACCGCTTTATTCCAGTCCTAGCCAAAGCTGAACAAATAAAGCATTGTTTATCCCAGCCCTGTAGCCACTGGTGACAGTGTAAATGTAATTTACACCAACATAGTGAGATTTGTGCAAGCCAAAAGTATCCTTGTTGCAAGAAAGGATAATCTGAACCTTTACAAAGCCCATCTATACTAGAGGTTTGTACTGGAATGGTTAAACTGCTAGGGTTCCGTTCCCCCCACTCCTCCCCCCACAGCGAAGTACACTAGGCCTAAATTCTTAACAGAGACTTACTCTGCAACCATCATTACCTATTCCTATACAATACTAAGGTATCACTGTCAAGGGAAATTGCAATACAATTTGCTAATTATTTAAATCTGAAGTTAATATTAGGTATCCTCCTATATATGATTTTCAGTCCTTCCTATCTATTCTCTAAAATTCATCTCATGTCTGGTCTTGCTGCTCAGGTACAGTGTTGTATACAGTGACATGAACTGAAATTTTCCATCTGAACTTGATTTGAAGTCTGTCCCAATATTTAGTGTTTTATTGTAAACCCCAGCTCCTGGAATCACACTAAAGCACGAGAATTTCAAGTTTCATACTAAAAAGTTTCTGTTGTGAAATCCTGATAAGACACCCACAGATATTAACTCAACGATTTTTACTCAGACCTGTCATGGTTCTGGAGAAGAGTTTAAAAATGTGACCTGAGTGCACTCAATTAAGAAACAGGACAGCAAATATAAAAAGCTACTCTTTTTGAATGCTTGAGCCTGGAAATACTGCAGATTTGTTCACTAAAGCAGCACACTGTTTGTGGCAGTAGATAATAAGTGCCCAAACTCCTGCGGCTGAAGATTGGACAGGACCTGGAAGTAAGTAGGGATGATTTTCTGGTCACTGAAACAGTGTAGGTTAAGATTCTTTCTTCCAATGAGCCCTGAACACTCCCCATCTACTCCAGTTCGGAGTCTCCTCTCCTCCTCCAGCATAACAACTCAATTTCCATCAATTCAGTTTCTACTATTCCTTCAAATCATGAAGGAAAATCAAAACTTGCATTAGGGGAAAAATCTGCATGGAACTCAGCTTCATGATATAGCAGGACATATGAGCTGAATCAAGCTGCTAGCTCTTCTGGAGGGAAGATCACCGTTCCCAGCCAATGGGAGGTGTAGGAAGAAGCATCCCGGTCCACACCGCTTCCTGCAGCTCCCATTGGCCAGGAAGAGCACTATGCCATCAACAGCAGCTACAAGTGGCCGTACATTTGGATATGCAGGTAAATAAGTGCCAACAGCCTGCCAGGGTCTAATTCCAGTGAACTGCCTCAGACTTTTGCCCACTCCTGGGCTGTGTCTACACTGGCATGAATTTCCGGAAATGCTTAAAACGGAATACTATTCTGTTTTCAGTTTTGCTGGAAAAGGAGCTTCTACATTGGCAGGCTGCTTTTCCGGAAAAGCCCTTTTTCCGGAAAAGCATCTGTGGCCAATGTAGACGCGCTTTTCCGGAAAAGAGCCCCGATCGCCATTTTCGCGATCGGGGCTTTTTTCCGGAAAAGACTACTGGGCTGTCTACACTGGCCCTTTTCCAGAACAGTGTTCCGGAATAAGGACTTATGCCCGAGCAGGAGCAGAATAGTTTTTCCAGAACAGCGGCTGATTTTGTACAGTAGAGCATTGTTGCTTTTCCGGAAATTCAAGGGCCAGTGTAGACAGCTCGCAGCTTATTCTGGAAAAGCGGCTGATTTTCCAGAATAAGTGGCCCAGTGTAGACACAGCCCTGGAGTATCACCACCTAATCCCAAGTAATTAAACTTGGGATAGCGAACCAAGTTTTGTCAGCTCCAGTTTATCAGAGATTAAGGGACAGTTTCTAAAGACTCAATAATAAAAAATGAGTCTATCAAAAAAGTACACAGTTATAAAGCACGTTATTGACAATTATAAAAAATTTCTGAAAAATTCACCATTTCATATTCCAATGCACCTGTTATGTTATCTCAACACCAAAGAAATTTAAAAGCATGTCCATACATTCCTATAAGCAGTTCCCCTTTCAAATCAGTAACAGTACCATTTAATACTTAACATTACCTTGTGTTTTTTATGACAGCTGTGGTCTTTAGAATCTACTTGTATTCTCCTCCTTTCTTTGTCTATTTCTTTTGATTCTTGAGAATTGAATAAATTAGACTGTGGAGAACCAAATTCTCTAAAAAAAATAATAATCAAATTATGTTTTCAGTGTTGATGAATCATAAAGGCAACACTTAAGATTATGGATTCTATATGTATTCCAAAAAATCCCTATAGATGAATCACAGATAATTTAGACACATTTAAAGATGTGGTCATGTATGCAAGCCCTTGAAAGTTCTTCAAACTACAGACAAGTGAAAAAGAGCTAAGTAAAGTGATACTTTCTATAAAGGATGTATATTTATATAATTTCTGTTCACAAAAAATATATACTCAATATATTACTGCATATTTTGCCTTTGCAATACAGAAAAAGAGATTATGGAGCAGGGGTGGGCAATAATTTTTGCCCGGTGGCCACTTCAAAAATTTCTGAAGTAGCTCTGGGCCACCCTGCAAGGGGCAGGGCCTAAAGGGAAAGGGCAAGCTACCCCACCCCCAGACCATGATTGGTCTGGGGGTGGGGGAACCTCTTTGCTGCCCCCTTCCCACTAGGCACCCATGCCCTGGAAGAGGTTTGGCCTGCTCCCCCCACCCCCAGGCCAATCAGTGCCTGGGGGCGGGGGAGCGTGGGAAGTCTCCGGCCCTGCAAGGAGCACATGGCACTTCGAAGTGCCGCGGGCCCTAGGGCCAGGGCAGGACGAAGGAAGCTTCACATAGCTCCTCCACCCCCAGTTCCTGATTGGCCTCCTCCGCTCTCCCCGCCCTGCCAAACTGCGAGCAGTGCACGGTACTTCAAAGTGCCACGTGCTCCTGACAGGGCGGGAGGAGGCTTTGGGCCCTAATTGGCCTGGGGATGGAGGAACAGCAGGGCCTCTGCAGGCCAGATCTACCCACTTGGCGGGCCGTATCCAGCCAGTGGAGGCCCTTTTGCCCACCCCTCTTATGGAGGCAAGTTTCTTCTAGGGATGTAAAATCCTGTTTAATTAGTTAACCAGTTAAACATTAAATTTAACCCATTAACTGATTTAACAGGAGGTGGGCAAAGGCTGCTTTGGCCAGGCTGGAGCACTCTGGATGAACTGGAACTTCCTTCCCCTCCCCCTCAAAGTAGGCCCTTCTGAGGGGGAGCAGCCCTCAACCTACAGCAGGCTGCTCCAACCTTTACCAATAAATCAGTTAACCATTAACGTCCCTAGTTTCTTCAGCATTAATTTGTATAGAAAGCTGATTTTAATTAGAAAGTCCTTTTTATAATAATATATGCCATAAAACTCGCAAGTGTATCAGTAAAATCCAAAACACCTTTCAGAGTAAAAAGCTTGGTCTATAGGCATGCACTTTAGCACAGATAAACTAACAGTGACTAACAGGGGAAAGGTGGGAAGAAGAAAATCCAAAGGTCAAAGCCTAACTTGTTCCTACCAAAAGATACATTTGACTAGACTGAGATTGCCCAATAGATGTACATGTTAAACCTCAGTGATGCTAAAAATTAATCTATGATTAATATATGTCTATCATTGATCCTCAATACTCCATATATCTGGGATTGAATATATTTTTAACATCCAGGGATGTTAGCTGGATTTAAATCAAGACTTTTCATGCTTTAATACAACATATTTCCTAATGTGTCCCACTTTGTCTGATTCAAGAAGTGCTCAACAGCCGAGCAGACTGAGGATAACTGCACAATGGAGTTGAAACTACGGTGTAATTTTACAGTGGCTGTGAAGGCAAATTAAGGCTGCAACAGACAGATCTTCAATAGTTGTGGTGTCCATACCATTGATTTCAAGCCCTCTATCTGTAAAGGACAATGGGGTGACTGTTGTGCACTAGTGTCCCCACTTTAAAGAAGTCTTGCACAAGCATCTTCCAGTTTTTGGGAAAACAACACCTACACAAGTCAAAATTCTGGTGGTGATCAGCAAGTGGTGACGGAAACAGGACAGTGAGATCCAGAGTTCCTAGTCACAGACAAACACACAGGCAGTTGGTGTGTGATTCAGTCATCTTGCTCGATGACTGAGGCACACTGAGCATCTCAGCAGCTGCACCCATAATTGAGCAATCCTCTTTAGGACCCACTCTGCTCATCCCACATGGGGAAGGGTATAGAAAAAATGCCCTAAAAATAGTCTTGCCTCTTTTCCTCTTGACTGGATAGCTGTATCCAACAGGCTCACCACCCCAGTCGTCAAAAATGTAAGAAAGAGTTCAACTTTGTAACCAGGAATGTACGTACCCTGATGGACAATAGAGACAGCGACCAAACAGAGCGAGACACAGCTATCATTGCTCATGAACTGAATTGGTTTAACATCGATATTGCTGCCTTGTCCAAAACTAGAAGAGCTGATGAAGGACAGGAGAGGGTGAAGAAAAGAGGATACACCTACTTCTGGAAGGGAAAATCTTTTGATGAACCTCAATTGTATAGAGTAGGCTTTGCTATCAAGAACAAGCTCATAAGGTGCCTCTCTGAGCTGCCAGTAGGCATCAATGAGCAGCTTATGACACTCCAATTGAGGCTCACCAAAGACCAACAGGTATCTATTGTGAGCGCCTATGCACCAACAATCGACGATGATGAGGATGTAAAGGAAGATTTCTACTCTCAGCTGTAACATTTCATCAGAGACCCCCTTAAGATAAGATCATTCTTCGGGGGACTTCAATGCATGTGTTGTACGAGACTCGGAATTGTGGAAAGGAACGAGTTGGAAAAAGCACTCAAATGGATTCCTGCTCCTGACCTAGTGTACTGAACATAAACTTATCATCATGAACACCCTTTCTGACAAAAGGACAAGTTCAAAACATGTCGGAGACACCCACGTTCAAAGCACTATGTCATAGTTCATGCTCAAGATCAGTGTGACACACTTCTCACAAGAGCAATGACAATTGCCGATAACTGCTGTACTGATCGTTGCCTCATTCGATCCACAATGAAAATTAAGATTGCCCCCAAATGGAGGCTGCAAAAGAAGCAGATCAGGCACAAGCTAAAAGTTCAAGATCTGAAGGACCTCGTTAATGGAGGGATAGCTCAGTGGTTTGAGCATTGGCCTGTTAAACCCAGGGTTGTGATTTCAATCCTTGAGGGGGCCATTTAGGGATCTGGAGAAAATCTGTCAGGGATGGTACTTGGTCCTTCTGTGAGGGCAGGGGACTGGACTTGATGACCTCTCAAGGTCCCTTCCAGCTCTATGAGATAAGTCTATCTCCATATATTAAGCGTGACTAGTTTCAGGCAGTCTTAAAAGAAAAGCTTCCATTAGAGTTTCCAGCTGAAAGCAGCAATCATCAATACCTGTGAGGCTACCAGACAGCATCAGAACAGGTTTGATAAGAATGATGTTGAAATCAAGCAATTCATCCATGAGAAGAGAATGGCATTTCATGCTTGGCAGAATGATACAAATGGCAATACAAAGAGAGAAGCTCATGCTAAGGTGAGGGCAGAAGTACAACATAAAACCAGACAACTCAAGAACAAATGGTGGACTGAGAAAGAACAAGAATGCCAACATTCTTGTTGTGCAGATACCCATAATACACGTGGTTTCTTTAGTGCTATTAAGGCTGTTTATGGGCCAGCTTGTCATGGCATGAACCCTTCACTCTAAGGACAGAACCACAGAATCACACTTTTAAAGGACAAGAAAGCCATTAATTTTCACTGGAAAGAACATTTTGAAGATCTTCTCAACAACTACTGCATGGCTGCAGATGAAGTTCTTGAACAAATCCCACAACAACCGTCTAGGGATGAGCTCAGAGACCCTCCTAATTTGTATGAAGTATACAATGCCATTAAGCAGATGAAGAACAAGACAGCAGGTCCAGATGGGATCCCAGCTGAAATTTTTAAAGATGGCAGACCAGAGTTAATTTGATAGCTTAACCTACTAATCTTTAAAATCCGACTAAAGGAGGAGATACTCAGTGAAATGAGAGATGCCTTGATTGTTTTTCTCTTTAAGAAAGGGGATAAGGTAGACTGTGGAAACTATCATGGTATCTCTCTCCTTGCCGGTGCAAACAAAGTTTTGGCACAGGTCCTTACAACCCATATTCTGCCCCAGTCAGAAGAAATTTTACCAGAGTAATAGAGTAGCTTCCCGTCATGTGGCAGAACTGCAGATATGATTTTCACTGAATGGCAGCCTTAAGAAGATTGTTGGGAGCAAAATCGATCACTGTACATTACTTTTATTGGTCTAACTAAAGCCATTAACTCAGTGAATCACCGTGCCCTTCAACTATACTTTTGAAAATTGGCTGTCCTGCTAAATACATCAATATCCTAAAGTTGCTGCTGAGCAGCACTGGCTGCCAGAGTGAACCTTTCAAAGTACAAACAGGAGTCAAACAGGGCTGTATCATCACGCCAACCATGTCAGCAGTCTTTATTGCTTTAATTTTCGACCTAATTGCAGGGAAGCTTGCAGGTGGCATTGAAATCATCTACAGAATGGCTGGAAAGCTGTATAGGCTTAGTAGGCTGAAAGCTAACAGTAAGATTTTCACCACATCCATCGTGGAACTTCAGTATGCTGATGACAATGAAGTTTTTGCCCACTCTGAGAAAGATTTTTCAAACTATCTTAAATGCATTTACTGAAGCTTATGCACATCTTCGTCTCACCCTCAACATGAAGAAGACCAAAGTGCTCTATCAGCACCAAATGAGGTACCATACTCCCCAGCTATTCAAATCAACAGAGAGGCACTGGAGAATGTTGATCATTTTTCTCTGCCTTGGAAATTATCTTTCAACGTAACTTGGAAGATGTTGATGTAGAAATCCAATACAGTCTGAACTGTATCAGTGTAACCTTTGCTGATTTACGTTACAGGATTTTTTAAGATCACAACATTCAAATAGACAACAAACTTCTTGTCTATCAAGCCACGATTCTCTCAACAGTATTGTAATGGGTGTGAAAAATGGACAACCTAGACATCACTTGAAAGTCCTTGAGAGGTATCACCAAAGCTGCCTGTGCAAGATCTTGAAGATCAAATGGGAAGACAGGCACGCTAACATCAGTGTTATGGAAGCGGCAAAGACAAGTAGTATCAAGGCAATGATAATCTGTCAGCAACTTCACTTGACTGGTCATGTTGTTCGGATGCCAGCCCATCACCTCCCAAAAGAGGTCCTGTTTTCTCAGCTTAAAGGATTCCATAATGTGGGAAGACAACAGAAGTGTTATAAGAACTTGCTAAAGGATAATTTAAACAAGTGAAACACTGATGTTGACATTTGAGAGACACTCACCCAGGATCGCTCAAAATGGAGAGAAGTCCTACTCAATGGCTTCTTGCATTTTGAATTTGCCTACAGAAAAGGTGAGGAGGAGAAGAGGAGCAGGAGACTTAGCTTCTAGTCATGATCAACAGCCTCCTGCTGTACCTGGAAACATCTGTCCATACTGTAATAGAACTTGTGGTACAAGGATCAGCCTTATCAGCCACCTAAGGGTCCATAACTCCCATGGAAGATGAACATACTTGAAGAGTGATTGCCCATCATCCGTATGACCTTTTGTGGGTAAAACCCACTTCAGCTACAGTATTGGGTATCTCTACACTACAGCACTAATTCGAACTAATTTAATTAAAATTAGTTAATTCAAAATAAGCTAATTCAAATGAGTGCATCTAGACCTAAAAACTAATTTGAATTAGCGTTCTGCTAATTTGAAATAGCATGTCCACATTGAGCAGACCATGAACTGAAGTTAAGGCTGGCCGGAACCAGTGCCAGCAGAGCATTAGGTTAGGACTTAGGGTACGTCTAGACTACATGCCTCTGACGACAGAGGCATGTAGATTAGGCTACCGGACATAGTAAAATGAAGCGACGATTTAAATAATCGCCGCTTCATTTAAATTTACATGGCTGCCACGCTGAGCTGAAAAACAGCTGATCAGCTGTTTGTTGGCTCAGCGCGATAGTCTGGATGCTCCCCTGCCGCCAACAAAAGGATTTGTCCGCCACCCACG